CATACCACACTAATACCCACCCTGGTACCTTCCCTTGCAACAAACCCCGCTGCCAGCTTTGTCCACAAATTCACTCTGCTGATACCATTATTGGACCTAACCAAGTGAGTTATAAGATCAAGAACACATATTCCTGCGCATCCAGAAATATAATCTATGCTATCATGTGTCGAAAGTGTCCGTCTGCTATGTACATTGGACAAACGTCTCAGACACTTCGCCAAAGGATCAATGCCCACAAAACAGATATTAGACAGGATCACAAAGAAAAAACAGTTTCTTGCCATTTCAACCAGAAAGGACACTGTCTCAACGACTTAATTACCTGCATCCTGCTTCAAAGGCCTTTTAAGACTACACCTGAAAGAGAATCCTCTGAACTGTCATGCATGCTAAAATTCGACACTTTACGCCTAAGTTTGAACAAAGACTTTAATTATCTTACCCATTACAAAGATAGCTTCCCCAATTATTACCTTTAATATCATTAGCTCACAGACATTTACCTCCCCCGCACATCCCCGTTCTGTTCTGAAATTTGATTTGTCCTTTTCACATGTGTTCATTTTTTTAAATTGTATCCTTTGGTATATATGGTTGTGACTATTTTCTTCCACTATTTGATCTGGGGAAGTGGGTCTGGCCCACGAAAGCTCATCACCTAATAAACCATCTTGTGAGTCTTTAAAGTGCTACCTAGTCCTGTTTTTTGTTTCTCCTCCCAGGCCTCCTCGCCTGCAGCAGTTCTCGGGGGCTTCCCCGCTGGAGTCTCTCCTCGCTCTCTGCCAACGCTGCTTCTGCTTCTGGGCCTTTCTCCTTCGCTGCAGCCACCTGCTGCCCTTCTGGGGGGCACCCAACTGAACCCAGCTGCCTCGTTCTGGGAGGCGGGCTGGGGTGAGCCCCCAGGGCCCAGCTCCCCTGGTACGAGGCCACTCCTGGCTGGTGAGCGAGGCTGCGGGCACCTTTCTTGTCACCCCATTTGTCTCCCCGAATCAGAATTACTCTGCTGGCCCCTTGGATGGATGCACTGAGGTGAATGAATAGGATGGGGGGACATTCACTCCCCCTCCCCCACTTGCCTGGATTTAGCCCCCAAGGCATGGGACTCCCCCCAGCATTGGGGCGTCCGCACTGGTACTCCAGCCCCCCCGCCGTGGGCCCTACATCTACTAGCGTGGGCCCCCCAGGCTCTGGGGTCCGAGGGGAGAATGGGGAGCATCTTTCCCCTCAGTCGGGAGCCACCTCAGGGAGGGTTCTCACTTGTGTGTGGCCCCCGACTGATTTTTCTGTGGGTCAGGGGCCCCCAGCCCAAAAGAGGCTCCCCGCCCCCGTGTAGAGAAAAGACCCACGATTCACTGGGCTGGGCTGATACCGTCCCATCCGGGGACATCTTCGCCCTGCCATCGCCTCAGCGCGGACGGGATTCCATTATTCCCTTCGTGCAGGGGGTGTCCTCTAGCGCCTTGTCACCCCAACATCAGGGGGGTGGGGGGGAGCTGCAGCCAGGCGTGGGGGGAGGGGCTACCCCTTGCTGCGCAATTGGGGCACAGTGTGGAAGGGACAAGCATGGAGCTGACCCCAGGAGGTTGACTGGGCAAAGGCCATGCCGGAACCTTCTCCACCACCTCATCTTCAGGGTGTGCTTTATCCCGCCTCTCCCTGGGTGGGGGGGACTTGAACCCACCACCCTCCTCATGCGAGCACCCTATCCCCTAGGCCTCATTGGATCCCACTGCCTGACCTCAACTTCAGGGTGCCCTTTATCCCACCCTGTCCACCCACCTCACCTTCGGGGTGTCTTTTATCCCGGAACCTTCTCCACCACCTCATCTTCAGGGTGTGCTTTATCCCGCCTCTCCCTGGGTGGGGGGGACTTGAACCCACCACCCTCCTCATGCGAGCACCCTATCCCCTAGGCCTCATTGGATCCCACTGCCTGACCTCAACTTCAGGGTGCCCTTTATCCCACCCTGTCCACCCACCTCACCTTCGGGGTGTCTTTTATCCCGCCTCCCCCTGGGTGGGGGGACTTGAACCCGCCACCCTGCCCTCCCCAGGCGAGCGGCCCAGGATGCAACAGGACGCCCAGCCGTGTACTCACTCCCCACTCTCAGGTAGGTCTGGTACTTGAGGTGCCAGGAGGCCCCCTCGTAGCAGGTGTACTGGCCACTCTGCGCCAGGTCGACGTTCCGCAGGATCAGGCGCGATCCGTTGACTTGGGAGGCCTCCATGTCGGTGCCGTTGGCCATCCAGGTCACTGCCGCGTCCCAGTCCACCGCCCCGCACTGCATGGTCACGTCCGCCCCCAGGCGCTCGTACTGGACGTGGGAGTCTGAGGAGATAGAGAGAGAATCCCGAAGTGAGAACCCCTTTGCCGGCCATGCTCCCGGGCCTGCAAACGGCAGAGCAGCGGAGAGGCAGGGCCCGGAGCCAACCTGGAAGAAAGTCTGAGCATTAGTCACCCCACAGCAGCGGGCAGCATGATCTCAGTGTGGCCCCGGAGCCAGGCCTGCGTGAGTTCTAGTCAGGCTCTGACACTGACACACTGCATAACCTTGGGCACATCCCTTAACCCTTCTAGGTACCTCAGCTTCCTCGCGTATGGCACGCTGGCACCGACACCTCCGGGCCCACCCTGCTAAGTGGCCTGGAGAACGACCACTGTAAGAGTCCCAGTCTGTGCAAAGCCCTCTTGCCGCGAACCCCAGTTTCCACGGCGGGGGTTAAGAAGGCACAGAGGGCTCGGTTTAGCGGGCTGGATGCTGGCCTGTCTGAGCCCCGTCTATTCTGGTCCTGTCAGCATCCGGTAGGATCCCAATCCCTCCCTCCATTCGGGCGGGGGTGAGGCCGGTAAAGGCATTCCCTTTCTTTTGCCTGCATACGGCACCTGGGGCAGAGCTGAGAAGTTAACTCAGGCATCCTGAAAAAACTCATCGGCCGCGTGTCCTGGCCAGCTGTGCCCCATCTGTAGCCCTTCTCCAGCCTCCCAGGAAAAGTCTGCCAGGGACTTGCTGATTCATTAACCGTGAAACGCTCCGTGGGGTCGGCTCAGTTTTGGCAAAGGTGCCATGGAGCCCAGGACGGTTTCCTTCCAGCCCCCTCACCCCTCTCCGAGGCGCCCGGCCTGGTGGGAGGACATGGCATGGGAAGACTCGGGTCCCATGCTCGCAGTGCCTCAACAGACTGGGCCTCCACTCTGGCTCAGAGACGGGGCCCCCACGCTTTCCAGAGTCCCCCCCAGAATTAGTGTGATGCTGAAAAGCGGTTAATTAGGTGATCGTGTAACTGTAAAAAATCTCAGCGGTCACATGTTCCACACTGCAGGGTCCCCGGGAGCAGGGCCAGCAGCCAGTGTACGACGGAAGACGGCTCCCGGCCCCACACCTGAGGAACTGGCTATGCTGTGGACTCTAGGAACCTCATTCCTACTCTTCCTGACTAATAGCCATTGATAGACCTAACCACCATGAATTTATCTAGCTCTTTTTTTAAACCCTGTTATAGTCCTGGTCTTCACAACATCCTTTGGCGAGGAGTTCCACAGGTTGACTGTGCGCTGTGTGAAGAAAAACTTCCTTTGGTTTGTTTTAAACCTGCTGCCTATTCATTTCATTTGGCGACCCCTAGTTCTTACATTGTAGGAATAAGTAAATAACTTTTCCTTACTCGCTTTCTCCAGACCTGTCATGATTTTATAGATCTCTATCCTGTCCCTCCTTAGGGTGCGTCTACATGGCACCGTTGTTTTGAGATAACGAGTGTTATTTCAAAATAACAATGTGCACATCTACACAGCCATTCTGTTATTTCAAAATTATTTCAAAACAATGGACTGCTTATTCCGAAATCTGTAAACCTCATTCTACAGGGAATAACGCCTATTCTGAAACAGCTATTTCGAAATAAGGCGTGTGCAGATGCTCCACCGCTGCTATTTCGAAAGGGCCCCTCCCAGGGGTCATTCTAAATTATTCCTCCCCAGTGTCACCTGAGGCTCTAAATCGTGGTAGCACGTCTACATTAGGGAAGCCGGCCTCAGACTCATTTTGAGGCTTCCCTGCAGTGTAGACGTGCTATTTCGAAATAAGCTATTTCAGAATAACTATTCTGGAATAGCTTATTTCAAAATAAGCGTGCAATGTAGCCGTTCCCTGAGTCTCCTCTTTTCTAATCTGAAAAGTGCCAGTCTTTTTAATTTCTCTTTATAGGGCAGCCGTTCCAAACCCCGAATCATTTTTGTTTCTGGACCTTTTCCAACCCTTTTCCAGTGCTAAGATGTCTTTTTGGGGATGAGGAGACCACCTCTGTACAGTATTGAAGCTGTGGGTGGATTTATAGAGAGGCAATCAGATAGTCTCTCTCTGATTCTCTGTCCCTTTTTTACTGACTCCCGACACACTGTTTGATGTTTTGGCTGCCGCTGCACACGGAGTGGATGTTTGCCGAGAACTCTCCACAGTGACTCCCCAACGGAGGGTAGCCTGTGGCACAGGTAAGCAGAGCCACGCTAGGCCCAGTCTAGCTAGCCCAGGTAGCAATAGCAGGGAAGACTTAGCCGCAGGGGCGAGCAACCCAAGTACAAGGCAGCATGCCCGGCAGGTCTGTACTAGGAGTAACCAGCCTGTGCCAACCCATCTACTTCTTGTCACCTGCCCAGGTGGCTGGGTGTCCGCCGGAGCTGCAGCCGCCCCTTTGTGGGCGCACCCTCGGGCCGCGGGGACAGAGAAATGTCGCCATCGGGCGTGGGGCAATTCCACAGAATGTCCAGGGTTATCCCCGCTGCGAGGACAGGGCAGCAGCCACGGACGCTGCCGCCACGGAGACCACCTCTCCTCCTGGCCAGGGCGGGAGGGCCAGTGAGGGCCCTGCCAGAGACCCTAGCTAGGACTAGGGATGTCATCGTGAAGTCGATTAACCGATTAACCGGTAAGCAAAAGTGTCTAGGTTAATGCTACAGATGACACGCATTCTCCCCCCTGCTGGTACATTTTGTAGCAGGCTGGCCAGCAGCCTGGCTCAGTGCTGGCTTGCGACAGGTCCGGGACCTGCCCCCGCTGCGGCTCTGCATTAAAGTGCACTCGGAGCTGGGCAGGCAGGCAGCCTGGCTCAGGTTTGGCTCACGCCAGGTCCAGGAAATCAAGCCCCTCCCACTCCCCGGACAGGGGCTGCTGCTGCCATCACATGCTGCTGCCTCTGGATCAGAGGCAGCAGTGCAGGGTGACAGGCAGGTGGCCTGCGAGGGATCTCGTTTTTACACTGGCTCCCCGCGCGGACCAGCTCCCGACTGGCACCCCGTGCTGCTGCCTCTGATACAGAGGCAGCAGCACCGAGTAGGAGGGGGCTCCTCGGGAGTGGGGCTGGAGCGTACTATCGAATCGTCGAGTAACCGATAAGAATTCACGAGGTTAATCGACTATTCAATGAACTGACATTGAACATCCCTTGCTGGGACCAGGCACAACCTGGAGCTAACAAGCCAAGATTCATCCTTGGGGACAAAGGGGCACCAGGAACACCCCTCCCCGCCAAGTAACCTTATCTCCCCCAACAGGGGTGAAGAAGATGCAGAACTACCCACGGGGGCACATCCGCAGGCAGGGACGGAGTTAAACAGTCCCCCAGCCAACACTCCCCCCCTCTCAGGCTGGCACACACAGAACCCCCGCACCCAGGACCAGCAAACCCGAGACAAGCCCCTACTTGGAGGCAGGAGCCGCAGCGGGAGGCGTTAAGCTGCCCAGGTCCTCTCCAGGGGTGGCCCAGACTTCAGGCTGCAGCCACGCGTTAAAGTCCCAGGAAGCCAGCGGAGACTTGGGCCGTGGCCACATGGGCGGGCAACCCAGAAGGGAGCGCCGAGGCAGCTTCTTAGTGACAGAGGCCAGAGAAGGGGCAAGAGGAAGATGTCTCGGAGGCAGGGGCCGTGGAAAGGCATTTTGCCCAGGTCCTCTCCAGGGGTGGCCCAGACTTCAGGCTGCAGCCACGCGTTAAAGTCCCAGGAAGCCAGCGGAGACTTGGGCCGTGGCCACATGGGCGGGCAACCCAGAAGGGAGCGCCGAGGCAGCTTCTTAGTGACAGAGGCCAGAGAAGGGGCAAGAGGAAGATGTCTCGGAGGCAGGGGCCGTGGAAAGGCATTTTACTCAGCTCCGCCAGGGCCCCTACGTGGAAATGAACACTCTCCCTTGGACCAGCGTCTAGGCCAGGCCAGCTACAAACCGCAGCCCTGCCCAGGCGCTGGGTAAGCGCAGGCCACCCGCCGGCTTGCAGCCGTGCAACAATCCCTTTCACACGCACAGAGTGGGAAGAAGCTGTCTAGGAAGGAGTCCTGCGGAAAGGGATCTAGGGGTCAGAGTGGACCACAAGCTAAATATGAGTCAACCATGTGACACTGTTGCAAAACAAGCAAACATGATTCTGGGAGGCATGAACAGGAGTGCGGTGAGCAAGACACGAGGAGTCATCCTTCCGCTCTCTTCTGGCCGATTAGGCCTCAATTGGAGAATTGTTCAGTTCTGGGCACCGCATTTCAAGAAAGATGTGGAGACATTGGAGAAGGTCCAGAGAAGGGCAACACCATGAAAGGTCTAGGAAGCATGAGCTCTGAGGAAGACTGAAAGAACTGGGCTTGTTTAGTTTAGAAAAGAGAAGACTGAGAGGGGACATGAGAGCAGTTTTCAAGTATCTAAAAGGCTGCTGCAAGAGAGAAAAAATTGTTCTCCTTGGCCTCTGAGGATAGAACAAGAAGCAATGGGCTTAAACTGCAGCAAGGGAGGTTGAGGTTGGACATTAGGAAAAACTTCCCACCTGTCAGGGTGGTCAAACACTGGAATAAATTGCCTGGGGAGGTTGTGGAATCTCCATCGCTGGAGAGATTTAAGAGCAGGTTGGACAGACACCTGTCAGGGATGGTCTAGCTGGTGCTGGGCCCTGCCGGGAGGGCCGGAGACTGGACTTGATGACTCTCGAGGTCCCTTCCAGTTTAGGGTTCTATGGTTCTGTGACAGGGCCTGGCAGTGTTTCTATCTCCCAAACAGGCAGGGGGTGTGCTCCAGCTCTAAGCCCCCATCTCCTGACCTCCGCTGGGTCCGTCTGGGCACCTCCACAGGGACAGACACTCAGTTCAACCCCTACCCCAGGCAGAAAGGCCCAGAAGGAGGCCTGGCTCCAGGAAGGCCGAGCTGGCCCGTACTCCAATCCCTTCCCCCAATTCTTTCCTCCCCGGTGTGTGACAGTGCCCCCGCTGCTCAGGAGAGTCACACCGTGCGACACGCTCCGCACACGCTCCCGTGCCCCTCGTGCCAGCCGGGCACCAGGGCGGCTTGCGGAGGGGCCGGC